TTTTTCTTGGGTTAAAGGCCATTGATCCACCCACACAGGGTCACTAGTTTTCCATGTGATGGGATCTGCGTGGGGCACAGGGAGGTCAATAGCCCCCATTAAAAATACCCTGTTCCTGTTCTAATTTTTGTTTAGTCTGTAAAGGGGAAGAAGGACCCTGATTACACACTCCGAGTCCTTGATAAAGAAGTAGGCCTTGATCAAATAATTGTTGCATGACTTGCGGGTTAGATGAGTGTAAATAAACTCCCATATCTTTCATTACATCCCTTCCCCACAAATTAATAGGCAGTCCGGGGACAATGAATGGACGGAAATGTCCCGGATGGCCCTCATGATCCTGCCACTGTAAAAAATCACTGCTCTGTTCAGTACTTTTACTTTGTCCAATCCCTTGTAAGTGTGTCATAGTAACCTGTTTGGGCCATTTTGCGGGCCATTGTTCAGCAGTTAATACTGAAACATCAGCACCAGTATCAAGGAGACCTGAAAAGAGTTTTCCATTGATTTTTAAATGAATCTCAGGTTGATGTGCTCCTATAGGCTGTACCCAATAGGCATCTGAAGAACCGAATCCCTTTTCGCCTCTATAAGCTTTTTTAACTTTTTCTTCCTTTTTTACTAAAGGTATCAAAAGTAGCTGAGCTATGCGTTGTCCAGCGGGTATAGTAGATATAGTTGTAGGGGAGTGAACCATAATTTTAATTTCTCCCTCATAATCTTGATCTATGACTCCAGGGGTAACAAAAATTCCCTTAAGGGTCACGCTACTTCAATCCAGGAGTAAACCTAGGGTGCCTTCAGGTAGGGGCCCATAGACTCCCGTGGGGAGGGCTTGGACCCCCATCTCAGGAGTTAGTACTGTGAAGGTGGTAGAACTGAGGTCCAGTCCTGCGCTGCCTGGGGTGGCTCTAAAGAGGTCTTGAATGGATTGTTTTGCTGAGGAATGAAGGGTTGGAGTGCCCCATAATATTGTTTCTGGGCCTGAGGCCAGCCTCTCCTGGAGTTTTCCTGCTCCAGTGTATTGTCTAAATAATCCCCTTTTGACTGGCATTCCTTTGTCCAATGATTCCCTCTTTTACATTTTGGGCATAAACCTGGCTCCCTTGGGGAGGACGAAACAGTTTTTATTGGGAACTTTTTCTCTGGACACTGTTTAATTCTATGTCCAACTCTTCCACACCCATAACAGCTTCCTGGGGGCCCAACAACTCGCATCTGGGACCCTCTACGTACTTGTTGAAAAAGAACCTCTTTTATAGTTTTTCCTTGTAAAGCCGCAGCCATGGCCAGCCCTTGAGTATAGGCAGGTCCAATGTCCGTGCATAACCTTATATAATCACCTAGGTCCCCTTTTTTTCTGAAAGAACGAATAGCAGCCTGGCAGAGAGAGTTAGCATTTTCATAGGCAAGCTGTTTGACCAGCAGCAGTCTGGCATCAGCATCTCCTAACAGACGTGAAGCAGTCTGCAAAAGACGGGCAACAAATTCTTGAAAAGGCTTGTCGGGACCTTGCCTGATCTTAGAGAGGTCCTCAGAAGCTTGTCCTGCCATGGGCAGCTTTTGCCAAGCTCGTTTTACTGCTGTATTAATTTGGGTATATGCACCCCCAGGAGACAACAATTGATTCGCTATGTCAGCATACTCTCCTTCCCCCGCTAACATATCATAAGTAATGTTGTTTCCAGTGGCACGGTTGAGTTCAGCCATTTTTTGGCACTGTTCCGTGAACTCTGTCTTCCATAATAAATAATCTCCACCTGAGAGGCAGGCTTTAGCTATTTGTTTCCAATCCCCAGGAGGAAGAGCATCCGAGCTTAAAGACTCAAGCATAGCCGGGGTAAAGGGGGCCATAGGGCCGTACTGAGCACAAGCAACCTTTAATTTCTTAAGTTGTTTAAAAGGAAGAGGTCTATGAACACAGACCATTTGTCCTTGTTGATCTGGCTCCTCAAAAACAGGACAGACCATTTGAAAACCAGCCAAATCTTCCCCTCTCTCAGCGGCTGCCTGTAAGGTAGCCTGTAAAGCCGAGAGAGGGTGGGGCGCTGGTGATGAGAGTTGTGGGACAGGAGGGGAATCTAGCTGAGGATCGGGGTGGGCAACCTCAGGGAAAGGGTCAAGCCCTGCCAGGACGCTGGGCTGAAGTGACCGTTTTTTCAACAGTGCTTGTTCCTTTTGTTTCCATTTCCAATTAAACCATAACACATCTAAGGGATTTGAGGGATGGGTATTTTCAGATTTATCTTTTTTATCTTTTATTTTCATTTTTTCAGTAAGAGCTATTAGAGGGAAGGGAGGCCATTCCTCATAGTTATATTTAGTTGCCTCCTCCTCTAAATCTGGGGCACCAGAGGAGTAGAGGGGTTCATCTAAACCTTCCACAAGAGGGGGGGCTGAAGAAGGGCACTCAATTTCTTTATCTATATTTGGAATGCCCTCCGGACTAGAGGCAACCGCGTCTGCTTGTGAGTTACCCACTAAAGTCCCTTGACGAGGATCTAAGCTCTCCTTGATAAGACCCCAAAGGCTAAACACATCAACAGGGAATTTGGAAGGCCCTTCCTGATCATAATAATCTTGTAATTGTTTTCCGACTTTTAGCCAAAGTTCCAAATTAATTGATCCCTCCTTGGGAAACCATGGGCAGACTTTCTCCACAAATTCTAAAAAATGACATAACTGCTGTTGCCCTACCTTAGCTCCACGGGACCGAAGCATCCTTTTTAATATCTGAGCAAACAGCATCCGACTACTAGTAGTCCCCATATCTTATAGCATCCGACTACTAGTAGTCCTTATATCTTATATCACCGCCCCCTACTTACTTATCTGAGCTCACAATCCGGCGGCGTCCTTCACCTTGTCCTCTGTGCTCAGGTCCCTGTTCGGGTGCCACTTGTGAAGGTGCCAGCCGTCACTAGTCAAACAGTGCCTGAGAGGAGGGGAGAGGATGAAAGAAAAACACAACCTCTGAGGCAAAGAAAAAGGAGAGAGAGGAGGAGGAGAGACCCCTCTTCCCATTTTATTGCCCTTTATATACCTTTTCCACAACCCCCAACCCCTCCTCAGCACATAATTCAGCGACTAATTATTTTCCAGGGAAAAGGTCAAATGTATTTTTACAACTCCGGGAATAACATTCCCTTGCACTGCAGACATTCGAACTCTTTCTATTTAACCACTCTCGTTACAAGTAACCATTCTTGTTTTTGTGCCAGCTGCCTATCCAGGATTCATTATGTTCTCAAGAGACTCAGAGGTCTCTCAAGGTTATTTCAACCTTTCTCTCTCCACAGCATATCAGGGGACTCAGCTGAAAAAATTGAAGAAACAAAAAAAGAGAATGAAGTTGAGTGACTCTCACATTCTGATTTCCTAACTTACTAAAACAGAGTGTGATACTTTCATAAAGGCAGGAATATATGCTAATAGAATAGAATTTTTTTAAAAACCTAGACTCTCATATACAAACAAGTGATTTTTGAAAGGTACCAAGACCATTCAATTGGGAAAAGATGGGCTTTTCAAAAATGGTGAAATGGAAAAGAATGGTGAAATGGGAAAACTGGACATCCACATGCAAAAGAATAAAGTTCAGCACTTATCTTACACCTCATACAAAAATTAAATCAAGTTGGATCAAAGACTAAATGTAAGTCCCAAAGCTATCAAAGGAAATGTAGATAGAAAATTTCATGGCATTGGATTTTGAATGATTTCTTAGTATGACACCAAGAGTACTAGGAACAAAGAAAAAATAGATACATTGGACTTCATCAAAATTAGAAACTTTTATATCAAAGGACACTATCAACAAGCTGAACAGGGTTGGGGATTTAGCTCAGTGATTCTGGCACCTGCTTTGCAAATGCAAGGTCCCGAGTTCAATCCCCAGTACCCAAAAAACAAATAAACAAACAAGCTGAATAGGCAACCCATGAAATGAATGAAAATATTTGCAAAACATACATATAAACAGGTATTAATACCTAGAATATGTAAAGGACTTCTAGAACTTAAGAATAACAAAAGTAATTGTAAAATAGATAAAAGGGTTGAGTAGATAATTTTCCAAAAAAGATACACAAATGGCCAGAAAGCACAGTGAAAGGAACTGGACACTATTAATCATTAGGGATTTGCAAATTAATACCATAAGGAGATATAGCTTTACATCTATCAGGATTGCTATTATCAAAAAAAAAAAAAACTGAAATGGCAAGTTTTAGAAAGGATGTAGAGAAGGTGAAACTTTCATGCATGGTTGGTGGGAATGTAAAATGGTTCATCTGCTATGAAAAAAAATAGTATGATGGTCCCTCAAAAATAATTGAACATAGCTGGGAATTTAGCTCAGTTGTGCTCCTGCCTGCCTCACAAGAACGAGGTCCCAAGTTCAATCCCCAGTAGCAAAATAATAATAATAGTAATAAGAATAATAATTAAACATAGAACTATCAAATGATCTGGCAATTCTACATCTGGTTATATGCCCTCAAATAATGAAGAGCAGAGACAAGAGATATTTGTACACCCATGTTCATAGCATCATTATTCACAATATTCAAAAGATGGAAATAATCCAAATGTGCCTAAACAAAACGTGATATATAATGTGAAATGGAATATCATTCTTTCTTAAAAGGAATGAGATTATGGTAGGTGCTACAACATGTTTGAACTTTAAAGACATTATACTAACTGATAAATACCAGACACGAGAGGAAAAATATTTTCATTCCAATTATGAGATACTCAAGAAGAGTTCAATTTACTGACACAGAAAACAGAATACAATAGTTCTTCCTTGCCCACAGTTTCACTTTCCAAGCTTTCAGTTACCCATTGTCTGAAAACATTACATGTAAAGTTTCAGAAACAAAAAATTCTTAAATTTTAAACTGTACTCCATTCCAAGGAGCATAATAAAATGTCATGCTGTCTGACTCGATTCCACTGGCATGTGAATCATTCCTTTTTGCAGTGTATCCATCCTGAACACACTCTCTGCTGGTTAGTCACTGAGGATATATTTCAATTATCATATGGACAATTGTGGTATCACTGTGTTTGTGTTTAAGTAACTTTTATTTTACTTAGCACCCAAAAGCAAGAGTAGTCATGCTGACTAGTTATGCCAAGTAGAAGCTACAAAGTGCTTCCTTTGAGCAAAAAGGTGAAAGTACTTGATTTTTAAGGAGTAAAAATAAATCATGTTGGGGTTCCTAAAATCTAGCATAAGAATAAATCTATTCATGCAAATGTAAAGAAGGAAAACAATTCTACACTACTTTGGGGACTATATATTAAACTGTAAAAGTTATGGTCTCAGTGCATGATAAGGGCTTATTTAAGATGGAAAGGGCATTAAATTTGTATATGTATGTATAGGAAAAAATTTCTAGTATTTGGGATTCACCTCTATCTGTAGTTTCAAGCAATCAATTGTGGTCTTGAAATATATCCCCCATAAATGAAAAGGATGAACCACTTTAATGGATACAAGAAGCTGGGAAGAGGGGGCAATGAGGAGCTATTACTTAATGGGAACAAAGTTATAATTTGAGATGATGAAAAATTTCTGCAGATTGGTAGTGGTAATCATTGTATAGTATAAATGTACTTAGTGTCATTAAACTGTACACTTAGACCACATTGTTTCTCTGGTGTGAGAAATTAAAAGTGTAAATAAGGACTAAAATGTGTAATAGATATTGTGAAATAGGAAGAAAATGTTCAAAGGAGAAGGGGAACTAAGGAGGGGGGAAGAGGAAAAGAAAGAAGGGCAGGAAAAATGATAAAAGAAGGAAAAAATGGAAACAAAGCTTTTGTAAATAAGGAGGGGTGGAGGCATTGAAGGAGGGAAGGGGAATGGGAAGAAATAAGAACCAAGATATATCATGTATGGGTACAAATTCTTTGTGAAGAATATGATCTTTATGTATACCTAAAATGTACCAATAAACTTAATGGAAAAAGTTTAAAAATGGTAATTTTACATTACATATATTTTACCAGAAAAAAAGAAATTCCATGTAAAGACAGTGACAGGCTCTAGGTTTAGATATCCTTGGATATATTGACAGCAGAAAAGCAATGAGTTTTATGACAGTGAAAATTAACCTGGGTGAGTTTCACTCTAAAGGGTTATGTATGTGGGCCAATGTGTAAGGAATTTTGATTGTGGTTGAAGTAAATTATTAATGTAATATGTAAGGGTACTCTTAAGATATCAAATATTACAATTTTGGGTGGTAAATCAAGCCAAAGCAAGACTTTTCCAAAAATCTTCCAATGTTGGTAATTTATTTCTCATGAGATGGGCAAAATTTCAATTGAGAATTAAAGTACCAGACTGATGGGTTACAGTTTAGAATAGACTCAGACCCAAACAAACAACTTGAATGCTAGCCAGATGCACTGAGACTGAATCAACTATATAGAGATAGCAATAGATAGATATAGATGACATACTTATACATATACATATATTTACTGGGCCAAATAAAAAATTAGTCATTGGTGATAGTGAGTGTTGGAAATCAAGAGAACTGGAGGTTACCTTTGAACTTAGATCATAGAAGATATTTGTTTCAGGGCCACAAAATTTAAAACTCCATGCTAAAGCCATTATTATACTTTCAGATCTAGTCAAGTTTAGGTCTAGATCTGGAGTTGCCCTGGCACTTTTGGCTAATATATTTATGTACAATTGGCCTGGTATCAGCTTAGAAATGTCAAAAATAGGGAATGATATAGTTTGAAAGACTGAACAGGATGCTTTAACCAGGAATCTACCAATTAGAAGAATGTGCCAGTGGCACAGCACATCAATGCCAGATAGCTACCTGAATATTGAACTATTCATTCTCCCAGAAATTCACATTTTCTCTGAAGGGACTGTACAAGAACAAGGTATTTAATTCACTAGAATATCCTACACTTAAATTTTATGATTTTTCAAATACCTAAAAGAAAAATGTTTATTTATTTGAAGTTTTTATGATTGTGTTTGTATATGTGTATGTATGTGTATGTGTGTGTTGAGAGCAATATTCTTTATCTGATATGCTTGGGACCAGAAGTGTTTTAGATTTTGGATGTGTTCAGACTTTGTGATATCTGCAGACTTTATTGGTTAAACATGCCTAACCTAAAATTCTGAAACATGGTACTCAAAAAGTTTTGGATTTTAGAGAATTTCAGATTTCAGATTTTTGAATTAGGCATGTGCAAGCTTTCTTGAATTGGCCAGATATTTCAAAGATTCATTGCAGTTTTCCACTTTTGATGCATGACTTAAAATTAGAAAATAATAAGTACCTGATAAAATTAGTAAAAGAAAACATAGGCTTAATAAGATAGTTAATAAAAGATTTCATATTATGCTCACTGAAATGTTTCCATGAATAAGAAATTAAAACAATAATCTTTGAGTTTGGAAAGAAATGTACCTATAACTAATTAAACCAACAATCTATATTTCTGCATATGTGCTTTCCCACCTTCAATTTTCCAAAAATATGTGTTAAGGTTATTCTAAGAAATATAAATGTAGTAATAAAACACCTCTCTGCAAATCAGATGTAGAGCCTATATGGCACTTAAAGTGAGCATCCTATAAAATCTCCTGCTTTCTCTTACATGGAATCTAGGCTCAGATCCTATTTTGCACATTACAACAGGCCAGCTAGAATGGAGGATGACTGGAAGTATTAGCAATTCATATTTGCATGTTCAAATATCAGCTTTGTAAATTACTTTCA